CACACGGCCATCAACATCTGGCAGCAGCACCTTGCTGCAGCACCAGCACCCAGTCTCCAAAAGAACCCTGTGAAGCGGCACCAGCACTCAGGCTCCAAAGCGCACAAACACCCTGCAAAGGAGGCACCTCTTTCAAGTCCTAGACTTGAAGTAAGAACCCCAATAAATAGCTCTCCCTCGCTATCTTGGGAGATGCCCATGCGAAAACCTGAGAAAGGAGAGGACGAAAGCCAGCGAGAGACCAATATGGCAGTGCAAGACTGGGAGGAAAAAATAGCGGAGCACTTATTGTTGAATGCCTGTAGCTTTCGTGGAGCTTGTATCAACGTGGAGTAGACCAAGATCGGAGCACAGCATGAAGTGTTGAATGCTTTAGGTTTTCTCGATTTTCCTGGCGCGGTGCTCTCTGGAACGTCCCTGTTTGGTGGTCTAGTTGAGAATCCGTGTAAAAATAAACGTCAGTGAAAACCAGGAGAAGGATGCCCGAAAGCTGGTTTTTGGTTGTGTTTCGGGCATCGTGCATCAATGCGAAGCCCTATAAAGAGCGGGCCTGAGAGAAAAAAAAGAGGCGAGCACTCATTCTTGAATGGTTGTAGTTTTCGTGGAGCTGGTATCGCTGCGACGTAGATGAAGATCGGTTTTTAGTATTATTGATTTGCTTGGTGCGGCGCCTTCTGGAGCGTCTCTTGTTGGTGTTCTATTGAGAATCCGTGCAAAAATAAACGTCAGTGAACACCAGGAGAATGATGCCCGAAATGGTTTTTGTGGTTGTGTTGAAATGTGTTTCGGGTATCATGCATCAATGCGAAACCTATAGAGAGCAGGGCTGGGAGGAAAAAATAGCAAAGCACCTATTGTAGTTTTGTGGAGCTGGTATCGCTGCGACTGAGATCAAGATCGGAGCACAGCATGAAGTGCTGAACGCTTGCAGCTTTCTTGCATCTCCTCTTGCGGCGCTCTTATCCCCAAGCCTCTACCTCGCTCAACTGGACATACTCACACCCAGAGCGTTCACTCTTTGTTGCTTGGTCCTTCTTGGTACGATGAGAGCTACACAGTCCCTATGCCCTGCTCAGGACTAGAAAAATTGTCTCCAGACCCCTTCATGATGCTGATGATGCACTACTCGGCGTCCATTGCATCACTCGCATCACCAGACCCCATTTTCACCGCGTTTCTGACCCTCGCTTTGGAGCGCTCTCCCCCACCAATCTCCGGGTTCACCCTCTCAAAAGGTGCCTTTTTGCGCCCTCCCCCCCCACACCCCCTTAACTCACTTCGTTCGCTCTAAGAGCTCAAGCCTAGCCTATCGGCTGGCTTCCGTAATAGTCGTAAACCGATGGAATAGCTGGAATATGTGCATGTTGCATGTCCTCAAAATCTCTCAAACTGAGTGGAATCATGAATGAAAACCGACGCGACTTTCCGAAGAGCTTTGGACGCAAGGAACTGCAACATGTTGTGCAAACTGGTGCGACTAAAGTGTCTGAGAATGGCTTGTTGATAAAATATTGGCGTAACCTTTCCCAAACCACAAGTGTTCCATTGCCAACTGCACTGACACGCCTGGAAATGACTTCGTTGCTTCCTGTAGTTGTCTTGCATGGAAACAAATTCAATGAAATTCAACATGTTTTGGTGTAGCTCCTTCGATTCAATTCCTCAGTTTGCCTGCCGGTTCATGGCAATGCATGCTGTGCACAAGCCAGCTGTCAGTTCGTACGCATACGCATACCCCTCATCACTGCTCAACCAATTCCTGCCTTTGGCCTTGAATATCACCTCATCAAGAGAAGCACTAGTATCAAGAGAAATCCTGTATTGTGTCGCTGGGCTCCCAGTCCTGCGTGTAGGATGACTTCTTCTGCATGTCGAACTTGTTGAGCTCATTTTGCAGTGTCCAGGATGCGTTGTACGTTCGAAATACCTTTGCTGACAAGTCCTCCATGAAGGTCTTGAAATACCTTTGCACGCAGGGAAGAAAGGTCTGAAGCACGCTGTACAATCAAGCATCAAGGAACAATGACACATGTTCAAAGACTACAAGAATCAAATCAAGTGTTCTTTTGCCAAAAAAGCCAAAAGACTCATTCAAGTCTGCTGGCGCAATTTTGTCAAAGACTTGCGCAGTCTTGGGTTTCCCCTCGATGAACTTTTTGACGTTGTCAAAGACCTCCTTGGTGACTTCCACGGAATTTGTATATCGGATTGAGTCTTTGCCCAGAAAGTCCAGATGGATTGTCAAAGGCTCAGTGAGCTGAAGGTGTTCTACTCGGAGAGAGCAGCAACCAACAGTGTCTGCCTCTTCTTCAGTGTCTTTTTCGCCACCAACCCGGAGTGCAAGTTTGTCAATGAAGTATGTCGCAGTAGCCTTTTGCCTATCTGCCACGTTCTTGCTCTGCTGCAACTTTTCGTATGAAGCCCGAATCTTGTCAATAATACTCACAAGTCGCTTGGCTCTGTCATACTTAAGCATGTCTGGCTGGCCCTTTAAGCCACTAGTAGCAGCAAAAGACACGTATTTGCTGTCGCCCAGCAATCCGTCTTCAAAAGTTGCAATCCACTGCACTGTATTTTCATGAACAACATCCCTCCAAGCATGGCCAGGCATTCCACAAACTTTTGGAACGCAAGCTGTTTCAGCAATATTGAGAGTCACACCTTGCATGATGGGAAAGAGCCATCAACTTGCAACGCATTCCAATACAAATCTGTGTTGGTGTGTATCCAACTCGTTTTGATCCAAAAGCTTTAGTCGCAAACAAATATGTTTATGTGTATCTGTATATGTGCTATGCATTTGCACCTTGGTATGCAATGTGTCTTTTAACATGCTCTACATTGATCTATATTTGAGAACAGTTAGATAAGTCTATATAGCTTCAGCAAACTGAGTGCAAAAAAGGCGTGTCTTGCAAAACGGTTTCTCATAAGTCCAAGCTCAGGAGCTCTCAGGAAAGGTCCGCTTCTTGAGAAGGCCTTGCTTCGGATGCTCTCCACGTCCCCGGAAAAGTTGAGGAGGTTCCAATCTGAAACAAGTCTAAAAGCAGCTTTTTTGAAGCTATCAGGCCTATACAAAGAGTCTGTCAAAGCAAGTCAAGGCCTGGCCTGAAATTTCCCAACTTCTCTCGGACACCATTCACAATGGCATGACCTCGAACCAGTGCAAGCAAGCAGCATCAATTTTGTTTGCTGAACTCATCTGAACATCTGAGAGCCGTACTGTACCACTCAGTGTCCTTTGCATTTTTTGCTTTCTCAGCCTCCTTGCACAGCAGCAAAATGGAAGCAGTCCCTTTCAAATCAACTGGAGAAAAGTAGGCAAGGCCATCAGCCACGGCCATACTTGTGAAGGAGTGTCTTGTCTTCATGAGCTATGTAATGACTTGCCAGGCAAGACCAGGCCACCTTCTCTTCTTTTGATCTATTCAATCGCTTCTGGCGTTCTGCTTCCCGATGCGCTTGCCTTATGTATGAAGCTTGCACATTATCCCTTTCACAATTCCAGTCACATAAAACCTGACCTGGTGGAACTCTTGCAAACGGTCAATGAGATTGCAAAGTTGCAGCTTTGAAAAGTCGCACTTGATGAAATCCTTAATGGGAGAGCCTTTGGGCAGGTATTCTTTGAATGTCTTCCAAAAATTCTTGATGAAAATGTCCTGGCAACAAGGCCAAAGGAAGGTATGTCAAAAGCAAAAGTGAATCTCGTTGTGCTCACTCCTTCACTTCGTATGGAGTGCCCTTAACTGAGGTCCAATAATACGCAATTTCTTCCTGGGCCAACGCGAACCGTTAAGCATTGATTTTGATAAAACGCCAGGAACCGAATCAGTGCGTGGGCGGCATGCACTGTGACACTCAGCGCAGCTGGAGTGGCAGCTTCTGGCGGTAGCACAACATCTTCTCCATTATACACGAGTGGAATGCCAATTGGCTCGTAATCTGGCGCAAACAAAAGCCTCAGCCCGGAGTGATGTGAAGGGTTCCCTGGCAAACCTATTTTCAACTCGTTGCATCTTGCCGCCATAAAGGCCCAGGGGGCCGAGGGGCCCATGATGCTCAAAGGTGTCCCACTTCTTTGCACCGCGCTTGCCACTTTCAGCTCCATCAGCACGTTCCCACCATCGATTAACCGGTTCATAGTCGTCTTCAGTCCTTAGGAAAGTATCTGAGCAAACCGGGACAAAGAGAGTTGCGAAGACCCTGAATGAATGACGTGAAACGTTTGAAAGCAGAATGTTTGCCATGATTCTTCAGCAAGACCTTCTTCTGCTCAACGGCTGCGGTTTTCTTTTTCTTGCTCACGGGGAGGTGCTTGAGGGCCAATTTTCTCCTCAGTTGATGCATGACATGAGCTCTCCTCAAGCAAGTTCCTTCCAACATCCCCAGTGTGGAGTTTGCAGTCCAGTACGGCATCAAAGCGTCTTCATATTCTCTCCGGTTTCGTCTTTGTTCTTTTTGTCTTTCTTCTCCTTTTTGTCTTTCTTATGCTTTTCCTTCAGCATGAAGCACAGCACAGTTGGACGCCTTGACCCGCCTTTCAAACTGCCAGAGTCCTTGTGCTTCTTTTCTTTTTTTTCTTTCTTGTCCTTGTGTTTCTTGTCCTTTTTCACCTTTTGCTCACTTCCATCTTTCTTCTCCTTCTCTCCTTTCTCCTTTTTCTCCTTCTTCTCTTTCTTCTCCTTCTCTTTTTTTTCCTTCTTCTCTTTGCCCTCTTTTTCCTTCAATTCTTTGGTGGCCTCATCCTGCACTCCAGCACTTTCGCTATGCAAACTTGCACGCAGTGCAGCTACCCTAGGAACATATGGAAACTCCTTCGCAAGCTCCGCCATCCCCAAGAACTGAGCGCTTTCTCTTTCGGAAAGCACGGGACATGACAGTCAAACTCAACTTGAGCCAAGCAAAGGCAAACGAGGCAAAGAGTCTCCAGATGTGCTTGGCATGGGGCCATGGCCCCAACTTTGCAGACTCACAAGTTAAGTCTCTGGGCTAGAAGCCATCCATCGGCTCGCTCTGGTTGCTGAGGTTGCTGTCATTACTTCCTGCGAAGGCAAAGCCGCCCCCTCAGCTGTGACTCAGCTGCGGACGTGCATAACTTAGTTTCAATTGCCAAACTTTTGCATATTGTATGTCCTCCATTGCCACCTCTCTCCTCGGCAACGGCCACCAACACAATCACAAAGTGTAGTGGAGCAACAGCCCAAACGTTCATTGGAGCACTTTGTGAAACAACAAGCACACAGACACACAAAAATTGAGCCCAGGAACCCGAATGCACACACGCACTCGAAAACAAAGGGCCAACCATTGACATTCTTGTGGGACACTCTTGCACGACACTCTTGTAGGAGACGCTCTTGTGGGACACTCCTGCGGGACACTCTTGCAGGACACCCTTGTAAGCTAGGAGACGTTCTTTGCAAGGCATTTTCGCAGGACACTCTTGCAGGAGACACTCCTGTGGGACATTATTGTGGGACACTCTCGTTGGACACTCTTGTGGGACGCTCTTGTGGGACACTCTCGTAGGACACTCTTGCGGGACATTTTTGTGGGACATGCTTGCGGGACACCCTTGCAGGACACTTTTGTGATGGGACACCCTGGTGGGACGCTCTTGTGGGACCCTCTTGTGGCACAGTCTTGTAGAATCCAACTTGTAGAACACTCTTGTGGGACACTCTCGTGATTCTTGTGGGACACTCACTCTAGCAGCTAGCATGACCCTCTTGTAGGACACTCTCGTAGGAGACGCTCTGGCGGGACACTTTTGCAAAGAACCCTTGTAGAAAACAAGTCCCGCGTCAAGTCTCCAAAACGAGCGCTTCTACGAAACCCCCTCCTAAAGTTCAAAAGTTCTAAAATTCAAGCGAATTCAAGCGTCAACTCTGCAAAACAAGTTTTTCTTACGAGGCATCCTTCGAAAGTCATTCGTCAAGTCTGCACAACAAGCGTTTCGTACTAGACTCTACTAGACTTCCTCCAGCGATCAAACTTCAACGCTCCAAAACAAGCGTTGGCACGAGACTCCATTTCAAAAGTGAAGCGCAAAGTCTGAGCGAACACTTCAAGCAGCCCTGCCAAGCAGCCTCGCAACGCCAGCCCCTCAAAATCACACCCGCTGACATACCAACCCCAATGGCACAGCAACATTCACCCCACCAAACGTCACAACCTCTCGATTCCCGGAAGCTGCCACAAAAATTCGGCTTCCACACCTAAACTATGCACGAAGCACTGCACCTGCCACAAAGAGTGACAACATTACATCTTCATGCAAAATTTGCACCCCACAACATGTTTGGAATGATTTCGACACTTTCTGAGCACACCAACATCCGCCAAGCTCGCAATTTTAGCTGAGACTTCTCACGACAACACAGCTTCGAGGCAACAGCCTCAACCACAAATCCTAATGTCACAGCACCCTGCGAATGCCAATCCCACTGTCACAGCGAAGGAAATTGAGGGTCTCACAAAACGCTGCACCTGCGCAGGAGTTCACGCTTCACACTTGAGAAGTCACGATTGCACGTTCCCCACCGGGTCCCCACCCATCGAAAATCCTTCCGCGCACTTGTCAGCGCTATAGCGACCCAACCGCGAACCGTTTCGCACGGTTCCGGGCGGTTGCAAACGGTTGCGGACGCTACGAACAAACAAAGTTAAACGAGAACCCTTCGCTACGCGTTCGGAACAACAACAACAACAACAATGCTTATACAAACATAAACTGCGCGTCAAAAAAAAATTCTCACCTTGTCTCCACGCCGCCCCGTCCTAGAAACAAAAACTGCAGTCCCCGGTCGTTATCTGACCCCCTCCAACTCCAAAACAACAAGCCAGTAGTCGTATTGGTAGTACTGGTATCAGTACTTGTAGTAGTAGTAGTAGTAGTAGTAGTAGTAGTAGTAGTAGTAGTAGCAGTAGCAGTAGTAGAAGTAGCCGTCGTCGTCGTCCTCGTGTTAATTGGGATGATAGTAGAGCAGTAGAAGAAGTAGTAGTAGTAGTAGTAGTGGTAGTAGGGGGAGGAGGAGGAGGAACAGGAGGAGACGAGGAAATAGCAAGTAGTAAGTAGCAAGAAAAAGTCGGAAGTAGCAAGTCGCAAGTAGTAGGAAGTAGTATTTGCAGCAGCAGCAGCAGCAGCAGCACAATAGTAGTAGTAGTCGTCGTCGTCGTCGTAGTGGTAGTGGTAGTGGTAGTCGTAGTAATCGTAGTAGTAGTAACAATAGTAGTAGCAGTAGTAGTAGTAGTAGTCCTAGTAGTAGTAGTAGTAGTAGGTACTAGTACTAGTACTAGTACTAGTAAGTACTAGTACCAGAAGTAGTAGTAGTAGTAGTAGTAGCAGTAATAGCAGGAGTAGCGGGAGGAGTAGCCGGAGTAGTAGTAGTTAGTAGTAGTAGTAGTAGTAGTAGTAGTAGTAGTAGTAGTAAGTGGTCTGTCGTAGTATGTAGTAGCAAGTAGTAAGTAGTAAGTAGTAGCAACCAGCAACTAGTAGAAAGCAGTAGCGATAGTCGTGCTAGTAGTAGTCGTCGTTGTCGTCGTCCTCGTCGTTGTAGTACTAGGTAGTAGTCGTAGTCATAGTAGGAGTGTCAGTAGTATCCAGTAGTCGTCCTCATCGTCGTCGTCGTCGTAGTAGTAGTAGTAGCAGTAGTAGTAGTAGCAGTAGTTGTTGTTGTTGTTGCTGTTGTATCAGTAGCTGTAGCTGTAGCCAGAGCCCAGAGCAGCAGCAGCAGGAGTAGGAGGAGGAGTAGGAGTAGGCGTAGGAGTAGGAGTCGGAGTAGTAGGAGTAGTAGTAGTAGTAGAAGCAGCAAAAGCAGTACAAGCTCTTGTTGCTTTGGGAGTAGTCGTACTAGTAGTAGTCGTCGTCGTCGTAGTCGTAGTAGTAGTTGTTGTTGTTGTAGTTAGTAGTTAGTAATTAGTAATTAGTAGTTAGTAGTTAGTAGTTAGTAGGTAGTAGGTAGTAGGTAGTAGGTAGTAAGTAGTAGAAGTAGTAGTAGTAGTAGTAGTTAGTAGTTAGTAGTTAGTAGTAGGTAGTAGGTAGTAGGTAGTAGGTAGTAGTTAGTAGTTAGTATATAGTTAGTAGTAGTAGTAGTAGTAGTAGTAGGAGTAGCAGTAGTAGTAGTAGGTAGTAGTAGGTAGTAGTAGGTAGTAGTAGGTAGTAGTAGGTAGTAGTAGGTAGTAGTAGGCAGTAGTAGGTAGTAGTAGGTAGTAGTAGGTAGTAGTAGGTAGTAGTAGGTAGTGGTAGTGGTAGTGGTAGTGGTAGTAGTAGTAGTAGTAGTAGTGGTAGTAGTAGTGGTAGTAGTAGTAGCAGTGGTAGTAGTGGTAGTAGTGGTAGTAGTAGTAGTAGAGGAGCTGCAGGAGTAGTAGTGGTTGCGGTAGGGGCGCTAATTAGCTCATAGACTTTTGATTGCTGCCACTTCCACTACTACCACCACCACCACCACCACTACTGCTACCACTACTCGTGCTGCTGCTCATCCTGCTGCACTACTTCTACTGCACGACGACGACTACTACTGCTACTCCTCCTCCTCCTGCTACTCCTCATGCTACTCCTGCTGCCACTACTACTACGGCTGCTACTGCGACTGCTACTACTACTACCATTATACCTGTAGGCCTGTAGGAACACTTGTTTTTGCACTCAGCTCAGAAGGTGTTGTTCTCTACCCCCTCCTGGAAACAATGACCGCAGCCCCGTTCTACAGAACAACACCTCAAAACAATTGTATAAAAATGGACTAACTCAGACTTCAGTGAAACAAGTCGAGCCACTTACGAAACCAACATTCCTTCAAACCTTCAACTGTATCCCCAGCCCAACCTTGTCCCCATTGCCGGCATTTGTTTCTACCACCACCACCACCACCCCCACCGCCACCGCCCCCACCGCCACCGCCACCGCCACCGCCACCGCTACCACCAGCAACAACAACAACAACAACACGTCAGCTCTTTTCGGTGCCCTATGGCGCGCTCACTCAGATCTGTGGATAGCATGCACGTCATCTTAGCCACATCGATCTCATATCAATTCCACAGGTCCTCGAGTCCTCTCTGGTCATCTCTGATCTGCATTAGTCGTCGGTCGCTGTCACTGTTTACCTCTCATCCTCAATCCTTGCAGCCTGATGCCTCCGGCAGAAACCAGGCCTTGAGTTCAGAAAGCTGCTGGAAAACTCGCGTGGCCAAATCTTTGTCCTCACTTTTGTCTGGATGCCACCGTAAGCACAAAGAACGCCTTAGAAAACCGAACGAACAGATTGGAGACCTGGATAAATTTCCATCCCTTCAACTGACTGTCTAACGCAAAGGGGCCATCACAAAACCCGGACCCTACAATCACAACAATTAAACATCGGCTCATCCACCAAACAAACTAAGTCGAGCGCCAAATCCTCTTCCTCGACTCCAGTGATTCACCACGCTTCTGCATCAACTCTTGGAGGGGGGACGGCGCATCTGCAGCGGATGAAGGCTTTGCAAAATCCGCTCCTTCAGGCTTGCGCCGTCCCCGCACACCCGGACGGTCTGCTTCGGTGCCTCTTTCTTGCCCACTCTGTACGTGAGGTTTTTTGGGCACACGCCATGTTCCTCGACTGCCTCTGGCTTCATCACCTGCTTCTTTTGCAGCGTCCTTTTGCCGCTGCTGATTCCGGGAAAAGTCTTCAAACCATACTTGCTGCGCATGTCTTCTTGCAGCTGCATCGTTCTGTTCTTGATGAATTTCTGCTAGAAGCTTCTCACGTTCCACAGCAGCAGCAGTTTCCAACTCTTTCAGTTTGCGCTGGTGTTCAAGACGCCGAGAGGCTTCTCGCTCTTCAAAAGCTTGGTCAGAGAACGGCTCAAACTGCTCAAGGTTCTCGACTTTCTCACGGGGCATCGATGGCATTGGCTTGAAAACCTTGGCACCCTGGCGCAGTGTCCGCAAGCCTTCTGCCTGCTTCTGGAGTCGTCGAGCGGCCTCCAGCAGTTGTGCGGCTCCATCGCTTGTGTTGGGCTTCTCATCTTGCTCAGGCTCCGTCCCCGAAAGCAATGATTCAAAAAAGTCTAAAGCCTCTTGGGTGGGCTTGTGGTCTAACGTCGGTTGGTGATTCTTGTGCAAAAGTTGCCGGCGTCGTTCTTCAAGAAAGCTGGGAATGCTCTGCCAACGGTGCCAGGTAGACTTGTATTCGTCACCATGACAACTTTTGGCGTTGCAAGGTGGATAATGTTGGAATTTCTGACACCGCACTTGTTCACATTCAATACCTAGCTGCCTCCGCCGGTTCGTGTTTGGGCTGGCAGGTGACTCAGAAATGTCAAACGATCTCCCTCCAGAGCTCAAGCCGTCCGCCATACCATCGCATGACTCCGCGCGTAAAAAAACATATCCAAACTCAAACACCATGATAATGACGGTATTGCAGACGAGGTGAAGTTTGCCCAGCTCATAAGGCAGCATCTTCGTGTCAATGTATGTTGTGTAGCAGGTGCGACGCCGCAGCATGTTAAAGGCTCGGAAAATCAGAAACCGCTATCTCAGTAGATGATATGAGCAAACTGCAGACTATCGCTGTGTCTCTCGCTGCTTCACTCTAATTATCATGTTTTGTGCACGTGTGAAGCTGAGAGCAACGGCAGTCTCCGATCATGCTGAAGGCTGAAGGAGTCTACTTACTTGCTCTTGCAAAATCTGGCACTCCAACCTGCAGCTGTCGAAACGCTGCCCCGTAGTCCTCGTGGCAAGCACTACCGATCAAAGAGCGTGCCAAATTCTGACATCCAATCACATGGACCGTGCAACTGAAGACCCAAAGGACCCAAAGGACCCATAGCCACGAGGATCTGCTTTACGTCGCAAACTCGACTCCGAACGGTATCACAATTGAACAATCCACCGGCTTTGGTTGGGTGCAGGTTTGTCTCAGAGACTTGATGGGGAGAAGCCCTGAGAGCGGCTCCTCCCAGCCAAAGTCATAGTCCCAGGTCCAATTTGAATCATTCGTATCATTCCTGAGCGATCACGCGAAATCATTCCTTCGAACGGGAATTGAAACAGGTGAAAATACTATTTATATAAGCGCATTGAGTCCGCGACGAAATGTTCACCTCCAACTGTAGGGTGGACTTCGAAGACCAAAGATTCAATTGTGCAACAGAACAAACCGATCCAACGAAGAGTCTGACAACTACCTCATCAGGCGGAAATGGGAACAGGTCTGTCATGTCCACCTCGAGGCAAACTGCACCATGACATTTGAGCAATTGATGTAGATGTCATGAGAGGCAAGCCAAGCTCAAACACTCAAGAACCAGCACATGTCACAAATCCAAGACAAATCCAGAAAGCGAAGCAAAACCAACAAGGGAAGAAGGGGAAATGGCAATGCAATTGTTGAGTCGTTTAACTGACTCAGGTGACTGCAACATTGTCTCCTGCATTTGTAGGCCTACAGCATCTGCCCGGATGTTTAAGAAACGGTTCTTTTCCATGCAAAGCAGTTCCATGCCTCAACGCAGAACACCAACAGACCTCATGTTCCAGGTCGCAACGGCATGGAAAGCACAGACCCAGTCACTTTGGCTCTGGCTCTGTAGACCCCAGCTGTAGTAGTTGCAAGATCAGACCTCAGCAAAGAGAAGGGTCCCTTACAGTACTTTCGTGCTTTCATAGCCCATCCTTTCCGCAGAACCTCATGTTCCTCCCTTGCCCCAAGGGGCCATGCCAAACCAAAGATGCGTTGTCACCCGTTGGGTCGACACCGGGCCCCAGTGGTGCCTCGGCAAAACATGTCTTTCTGCAAGGTCTTGTCAACACACGTGGCACACTTTGCCTGAGTCTATGTATTTGTAATTCTCTCGGACTGTCACCATTCAGAAACATGTCGATCTGCGCTCTAGTGACGCTAGTTGGGGTCTTCTTCTTACCACTGCTCAAACAGTTTTGTATGTCAAACGTGCCAGCAGTCTCAGAAAGCATCACAGCGTCCATGCCATAAAACCAGGACAGACGAAGTTGCCCTGATCTCCGGAAGGTAGCCACTTGCATCTTGAACTTCCATGGAGCCGACCTGGCTACAAACAACCATGTTTTGAGACATCACCACGCCAAGAACGTGCCGAGAAGGCAGTACTTGGCTGTCCAAGAGAAGCGACGAATTGAATTCCAGGCTTCACCGATGCAGCAGCTGCTCCAACACCAGAACCAAGAAAGGCCTTTTGGCATGCTGTAGCAGCGTGGGGTGCACAATGACTCATGTCAATAGCATGGCAGCCCAAACGGTTCACGAAAGTGCTTCGGAAGGATGCTGAAAAAAGAAATGAAGCTGAACCTGACTTGAGAGTGCTGATCCAGGCCCACCGCACCTCTCACAGCAAAATATGTTGAAACCTACTGTGTCTCCAATGCTTTGTGCACTCGTTGCGTCCCCGCAATTGCTTTTCCAATAGAATTTAGAAGTCTCAAAGGCTTGGGCGAAACATCTTCATCCACAACTCGGATTCGGTCAAAGTCCACCTACATAGGAGTGACATGGAGTGACGCAAGGCCAAGAAGTGGGCTGTCTATAAATTGCACACCTCCAAGAAGTAGCCTTGAACATTCAGCAGAAAGCGATCAAGCACCTCAAGCAAGAGAAATCGTGAGACGCGTAGATAGATAGATGTTGATAGCCTGAGCATCTCACATATGGAGTTCGAGTGCTTTCGGGGTCCTGCCAAGCCCGTTGAGTCCCACCATCATGGGTGAACAAGGGTATTGGCTCCTGCTCTAGCATTCCGTCAGTCCCTAGCAGTTCCACTGGACCAACCTCGGCTGTACCGCAAATCAATCGAGCTGACCCCAACCCGGCAAGACTGAGGCACAAACCACATGCAAAGGACCACCTGGAGTAGTCACCGTTGGTCACTGCATTGATCCGGGCAACGTTCGAACTCACTGTTGGAAAAAACGATTGAAAACAGCTAAAGAAAACAGAAAACTCGAGAACTTCAGATTTCAGAAACGCACATACCGTTGGCCCACCTGACCTATCCAAACATTCTTGCAAGCAGCATCCTTAAACAGTTTAAGCGTATGCATGTTGGTTTTTTGATACTCAAACATCACCACTCAACTTTTGCGGAAGGTCCACGAGGCCAGCGGGTGGGAGACCAATGTTTGTGTTTGCACCCTTGCAACAACCTCACACAAGTGGAGGAAAACTCTGGCACACATCGTTTCTATTGAGGTATTGCAGAAGTTCCAACAACCAACCCCAAAAAAAACAGCCTACCGTAAAGCACTAAGGCTCAGTGCTTTACGGTCCAATATGGTCCAATCCAATAAAAACTGCATTGTTTAGCAGCCCCACGCAACTCATTGTTGGCAAGGTCCTCATGCCTTAAAAAACCGAACATGCGGAATGATCCCTTCTCTGCCCCTGCGATTTGCTTTGCTCTTGCCTGTGTCTGACACTTTTTCAACACAAGCACTGGCCAGTTAAGAGCAAAGACTCTGAACTCGGCTGGCCCGCCGTATTTTTTGCGATTTTGATGCGACTATGACATGGGGCCTCAACCCTCCCAGCCGGAGACAACCATGTGCCTTGACAAAATACGACACTCCCAAGATGACAAAAAACCGGAAAACACGGAGACAAAGGAAAGGATAAATAAAAAACCAAATGGGGACAAAAGAACGGACCGGCAAAGCTCCTGCGCACTTCGGAATCTCAAGGGTGCTTCGGCGGCGACGCACTCAAAAAAGTTTTCGCCGCTGCTGCTGCTGCTGCTGCTTCGACTTTTTACCTTCTCCTACTGCATCGCTTTCTCCTGCCTTCTCTTTCGCCTTCCTTCTTTTTCTCTTCCCTTGCTTGCGCTTCTTTGCTTGTGTTTTTCTCTTCTTGGATGTTTCTTCATCTTGTATTTCTTCTTCTTCTTCTTCTTCTTCTTCTTCTTCTTCTTCGTGGCCGTGGCCGTGGCCATGGCTGTGGCCGTGGCCGGCTGGCCGGAAACAAAAACTATTGGAGAGTTGTCAGCTGTACACAAAGTGGGCGCAGCAGCTGTGATCTTTTCTCAGCTTTTCAGTGCAGTTGGCAGTTTGCAGTCTGGAGAGCACAGTGGAGTAATTTCTTAACACAAGCAAGCAAACAAACAAATTTTTCACGCACTTTAACTACTTCGCCCTGTTCTTGATTGCTTTTTGAACCGGCCTCAGTCTTCAAGCCATAAGTGCACACGCAAGTATAGTGTACAAGCGAATAATGCCTCAAGTGCACAAGTCAGCGCTCGCCAAAACACTCGTCGTAGCTTCTAACGTGAGTTCACATCGGAGCCACCCCCCTTCTTGGCTTTCCGATGACGGTGGCGAAGCAAGAAGCTCTTGAGTTGCAGCCACTCTCTGTCATCTGCTGCGCGCCTGCAACTCCACTGAGCTTCTTCGGCAAGCTTTGCACTTCTGAAATCGGTTGGCGCGACACTTTATGGCAAGAAACGCTAAAGAAACTTCGCGGACTTTGGCTGGCCAGCACAAAGACAACGCAGACTAAAACGAAAACCACACATCGTCCTTGGGTTTAGAAACCCCTGCAGCCCCTGCAGATCAAACCGAGAAAAGTAATTACCCCAGCTGACAACCCCAGTAGCAAAGCATCCGCCACGGTCTGGCACATGTCTTCTGCCGCGCGTTGTTCCTTGCGCCGCTTTTCACACAGGGCATACCGAGGACAATTTTCAACAAAAGCAACAGTCAAACGCAAAGCCACACAAACCAATTCAATATCCAAGCAACACGTGTGCTCCATAGTCCATGAAGCACTTAAGGAATGTTTGCCGATGAGCGCGTGGAAAGATTTGCGCAAGTTCTATTCGGACAAAATGACAAGGACATAAGTTAAGACAGTACCATCACCAAATGAAAAAGAAAATGTATTGGAGGACGGTCGCATCAGTTGTCAGAAAGACCGTCCTTTAAGTTCTGGCCCCAGGAAGCATTCAGGCACGCAAACGCAAAGAGCCATCTTTGAAAGTCTACAGAACAAGCACTAGGCAGTGGATGGCAATCTTCCTCCTGGGTTGACTCAGACGAACACCGATTTGGAGCACGCATTTCTTGCATCATGGCCCCGCGCCCGGCCAACCGAAGTGGAAAATTGCCACAAGCGATGCGCACACAGGCGCCAACACATGACTTACGCACGAACGATGCAAGAAGCGCAGCGTCAGATGCAGAATTTGCATGTTCGTTCCCAAACGAAAATGGTACCCCTTTCCCCTGGCTAAAGCTAGACAGCAATGAACGCATAGTCAAATGTGGTCGCGCTGTGAATTACACCAGCATAGACCCAGACAGCCAGGCAGAATCCCACGACCCGTTGACATGCGACTGGCTGGAACAAAAATGTGCGCAGCCTGCACAGCCAGCTTACAGCGCCTGCACAGCGCGCACAATCAGCTGACACCAGCACCGGTGCGCTTTTCCAGCTGACACCAGCGCCGGTGCGGATGTAAGAAGATGACAACACCGGCAGCGGCGCCAGCGCCCGACCAGCGCCGCCGCCCGTCTTAAACGCGAACTCAGCCAGCTCACAGCACCAGCAGGACCACAACACCAGCACCAGCACCGACGCCCTTTCGAAAGCGGGCTCAGCCAGCTCATTCTTATTTGCAGCAAGAACCCCATAGCTATCCCAATTATTGGTGAATAATGTGACTAACAACGTATGATCCTGCGCATATAAGTTTATGCGCACAAAAGTATGCGCACAAACGGCAAAGCCCGTAGGCTTCACTCGCCCAAGGTCAAGCAGTATGGTGTATATTGTGTATGTAGCATGCTGAAACACGCTGAAACAATGGTCGGTTGAGAGCCTGACGTTGCGCATAGAACATTGTACGTGCAAAATAAGTGTGGGCGCAAACAGTACAGCCCTTGACACAGCTGTCGGCCAAAACAGAACCTGAAGAGCGTAAAGATCCCACAGCGCTAATAGACAAAGAACGCTCAAGCGACAACACCGTATGATGATGTTGCGTGCATAAGTTCATGCGGCCCATGACTGCTGGCACTTCATTGTCAGAAGCGGCGCTTGGTCGCCCTTCACTGCTGCAAGCGGCGGTTTGTTACCCTTCACTGTCAGAAGCGGCGGTTGTTATCACTTCACTGTCAGAAGCGGGCACCAGCACCGAGCACCGGCACGCCAGCTCACGGCGTCCAGCACCAGCACCCGTATACCCAGCACCAGCGCCCGGCACCCGCCCGCCACCCAGCACCCGGCACCCTGTCTCCACCACACGCACAGCCAGCACCCAGCACCGGCGCCCCGTCTCCACCACGCGCACTGCCAGCTCACAGCACCGGCACCGGCGCCCGCTGTCTCTACCACGCGCACTGCCAGCACCACCGGCGCTGTCTCCAACGCGCAAACCCAGCAGCATGCGCCGGCACCCGGCAAGCACCAGCGCCAGCAACCTGTCTCCACCACGTGCTCACAGCACCAGCAACCTGTCTCCACCACGTGCACAGCCAGC